CTACCAATATAGAGGAGATGGCAGGAAGATTGTACTGATCACCTCCCAGAAAAAGGTACATTGTCTCTGAAACGAAGGTCCTGAATAAATGACCACCTTTCTGCCAGCTAAAGGAAAACCTCATGTATTTATGTAATCAGCACAAGTAGTCACTCAAATTTGGAATACGTCATCTGTTCCCTGTCAGGTGAGATTATCTGGACTTTAAGTTTATTTTTAACCTGCAAGTCAGGACAAGAAGTGAAAAAGGTCTATGTAAGAGGCCTAGGGATTGGCAAAAGGTTTGGGCTGTTTTATCCACGGGAAAAACTCAATACTATATTCCTTTTTTACTTTTACAGCTGAGAGGACTGAAGAAGCCACTTCTTTCACCTCTACTTAGTAAGTTCATGTTCACTGCCTAGAGAAACTGCTAGTGATGCCTCAATAAGCTGTTGGTTTTTTTCCAAAGAAGTGCTTTTCACTCAGTATTCAACCACACCTCTATTTCTATCAGAAACCATTAAACCAACTTGTTCCAAGTTCCCACCTTTGCAGAAAAGCCGAAGGGCAAAACTAGATACTACAATTTATTCAGGGTGGAGGTGGCGGGCATGGAAATACTTTATGTGGAAAATTTAAAAGAATATGTACCTCCAGTAGTCTGTTCTGCCCAGGAACAGCAGATTATGCTCTATTCCAGCATACAATGATAGCTACAGAATTTCTTACCTGCTTCCCAATCCACTTGTCAGAAAGAATTAAAACAGGAGTTTACATCATTTATAACTATAAACAGCCCAGCAACACTACAAATATGATCTCACTCAGAAAATATTTGCTATTTGTCAAACTGATTTCAGAAGACTGGAAGCTGACCTGTGGAATTCACACACAGCGAATTACTGCAGTAACCACAGTTAATCAGATGAGGTGGTACTGTGCCTCAAGATAGCTTAAATTTGCTAAAAATGGGCTGTTGGCATATACACCACACGACTCATGCTGAAGACCACAGCTTAAGTACTATTTCTCCCCCATACCAGACTGCAACATAGACTTTATATAATGTCCATTTAATCCAGTGGAAACTCTGGCTCCTGAAACAAAAGATTCTGATGTCAGAGCTGTTCTCCATCTAAATCATAGCTAGCAACAACTCTTTTCTCTAAAAAAAATACTTGCTACTTTCTTCACTCAGAAGACCCAAGAAAAACACAGATCCCTAGCATGACTAACTGAACAAATCTGACACAAACACCTACCGACCTTCCTTAAGAGGATACCTTCCACTAAATGCAAACAATGTTTCCATTACACTGAAACTAGTTTGTCGTTCATTGTGTTCACATGAGTGTGTTCTTAACCTCCGGATCTGGAATGGAACCAGGATGTGAGAGAGTCCCCAGGGAGTATAGAGTAATTATGATATCAGTGTTTAAAAGTTCAACTGAATCAGCATTTCAGCCTAGTAGTTATCCACTAGATGTCATAATTTAACTTCAACTAAACAAGTATTAACTTTCCTCAAAAGGTATACTGCTCAATACTTCAATGAAGGATTAAACTTATTGCTACCTACCCCAATAGTGTTGGCTTTTTGGTTTTGTTGTTTTGTTTTTGTTTTTTTTTTAAAAGTTTTTAATGTTAGAAGACATGCAACATGATTTCTTAATAATTAATCCAGCCAGAAATTATTACTATAAAAATTAAAAGAAAAGTCACAAAGCCCTCCTCATTTAGCATCACTCAGCCTTGGAAAAAGCTTTGGAGATCAATGGTCTTAAGAGATCAATTATTTTATTAAGTGTAAAATATAATTAATGGAAAGGGAACAAGGTATCCCAAGTGAAGTTGATTAAAAAGTACTCTAATAACAAATGGGCTTGACATATGCTCTATCTGTACTCTTACTGAAACTGGGGCAAAACCAACACTGACCACAAATTACCTTAAGCATACAGGTCTGCAAGTACAGATGAATAACCTTAATGGGACTCATTTGCCTAAGATATTGTGAGCACATAAGTTATAGTCTAACACCTTCTGAGTAGGTATGATGTAAATCTCAGTGTTTATTACAGTAGCATCATCAGACACAGAGATCAACACATCCCAAAAGCATAACTATTGCTGATGAAGAAAGTAGTACTGATAAGTCCGTGTTGCTTCGCAAACACAGCTGCTAGAATTACTAACAACAGGAAGAACATAGTAAGAGAAATATATATATATCTCCTTTAAGATTATCCTGCAATTTTCATATAAATTAAGTAGGAAAATTCTGTGGAAGAAAATGGAAAATTGATAAACTTCCACTTTTGCACTAAGAAAGGCTAAGATATAAACCAGATTCAAGTGGCATCACCCACCCCTTTCTGGAATAGCTCTTAAAAGGAAGGTGAGATCATTTTATCAAATTTATCTCTTTAACTCTCTCATAAATAAGAAAGTAACATAGAAAATGACAAATGTAAAAATGCCCACAGGCATTAATTTCTAATCCATTCTTTAGCAATTAACCTTTTTGCCTTAAGGCTGACAAAAAAGGCGGGGGGAAACGATCTAATCTGAAAGAACACCTCAAATATTTATTTTGTGATTCCTAGGATAACACAAATGTAGTTCTTTCACAACAGCAATTATTCCTGTCCTCCTCCCTCTGTAAATTATAACAAGAGAGTGGCTCCTATTATGCAGATCTTTGAGTACTTAGCCTCAAAAGCCCAACCTTTGAATACACTTATCTAGAAATCTTATATTTACATTAAATATAAATTATTCAAATTGTATATTTAAATTAAATTACCTATTTTATAGGAACTATTAACAAGAACAAAGTCAAACTTGTAAATACAGCTGCTGGTTTGTAAATTTTAGTGGTGCTCTAAGTGGAGCAGGCAAGATATTCAAATTGTTGAGGTTTGCTCTTTGGGTGTAGGGTTTGTTTTCTTTTTTTTTTTTTTAAATCATCATTTTTCTTTATACACTGCTGAAGTAAGAAACTTTAAAGTAGTTTCCCATACCCTTTCATCGAACACAATTCAATGAAAACTTGAGTTCAAACTGCTACTGAAGCATTCACTTATTTCAACACCTTCATTATAATAAAAATGGAACCGAAGGATATAAACATTCTCCAACTACTTCGAGAGTTTAAGTAACAAAACACTCAGTGAAAAAAGTCAGTGTCCAATTAAGTTATATAAAAGCATTAAACTAATAGAATTATTAAGAAAGAATCTACAGTAGGTCTGGAAAGGAACACAGAGGAAGTCTACTCAATAATGAAAAAGCCGTAACAAGAAATACCCTGAAGTAACTCTTCGAGGTAGTTTTCAAAGAGCAAAACAGCCTGCACAAAACCAGAGAAGCCTGACAGGACCAAAACTTCATTTTGGTTAGTTTGATCTTGAAGAAATAAACAGCGTTACTATTCTCACAAATTCTAGCAATATTATAAAGCTTCACTTGTGTATAGAGACATCCTTCTTCTTGTGCTGGTTACTTGGTGTACCTCAAAACCTAATGGCACAGTCAAAAAAAAGAAAGGGAATACAGGAAAAACCAAGTAAAAACCCCAGCCATTTTTTCTCACCTAAAGAACAAGAAAACCCTCTGAAGATCCCAGCTGTGGGATTAAGTGGGATTACACAATGTTTTGCATGCTCCAAGCAAGACTCTGCACCGCAGAACTGTTCTGCTAAAGCCACCTGCACTCTGACAGGCGCTGAAGCTCCCGATTGCAATTTCGGCCACATCAATCTGGCGCTTCACCGCACCAGTCGGTCAATCGCTAACAAGAAGCTACCGCTTTTAAAACCCGTCTCCGTTCAGATGGTACCAGACGTTTTCCTAGCTACCTTCCGACCAAACACTTCAAACTTTTAAACTAACACTACCTGAGAGCAATTTCAAGGCTCACTCAGCAGCATCACTCCCACCATCAACAGCAGAAGCTAAAGAAACACGTTGAATCAGGCTCACGAAAATTAAAGGAACTTTTCAGGTGTCTGTATCTAAAAAGGGCTTAGCAGAAGTCAACAACGCTGACACAGAGGCACTATTTCGACCCGCTAAGAGCCAGAATTTAACAAGTCAGCGAGCCCGTTTCCTGAACAAAGGCACCCGCGGCAAGAACCACGGAAACGGGAGCCCCGGGACAACCGTCCCCGCAGCTTTCCGGGCACCAGGAGGCCGGCGACACCGGGGGCGGCAGGGCAGCGGCCCCCAGTCCCGCAGCCGGGACGCGGGCGAGAGGAAGGGGGTCGCCCGGGCCGCCACCCCCCTACCCGGTTGGGGTCGGGGAGCCTAACCGCCTCCCTCCCTGAGGCAAAGCCCTTCCTCCTGCCCCGGACGGAGGAGGCGGCCCAGGGGTAAGCGAGGAGGGAAGAGAAACGGCCGGACCCTGCCGAGGGGCCGACTCGCCGCCACGCCTCGGAAGCGGATCCTCGAACCGCAGCCCCGCCGCCCAGCCCCGAGCCGGAGCCGGGCCGGCTGCTCCCCGCCATCACCCCCCTTCGCCTCCCCTCAGGGAACACACGCAGAGGCCGTACCTGCGCCTGGCGCTCGGCTCGTCGGCGGCCTTGTCCTTTCCCGAC